AGGTTTTTATCAAGGGTGGCTTGCCTCTCCCTTAGCAATAGAGTGAAGAATGTATGACTTTCATCTCCTATAGTCATGTCTGTCTGTAAAAGTAAAACTTTGAACTACCGTCTCAAGACCGCTTCAGAAAAACTGCAAGAAAGTGTGGCTCCTTAGAAGAACAATATAAAGAAATAAGACTTCGTGTGATGAAAAGCTAAAAGCCTAAAACAACTCAATTACTTTTATTATGTAGCTAAAGCAAAATTGACATAACAGCTAATTATCATCCATGCAAATATAAATGCAATTTATATTTGCCAATATATTATTATACAAGAAAAAGGTTAAAATTACCTGATATTGGTACATCTGTAAAAGACACCCTGTCATATGTGACAAAAAAAAGCATCAAACCTCCATAAATTGAAATGTCACATTTCTGCAGCTCTACTGTGCAGACAAATGTGACGCTTGGACCATTTTAATCTACACACACAGCATGTCTTAATTACAGTGTTCAAAAAAGGTTACACCACATGAGAACATGCAAGAACAGACTTGTTCTTTGACTTGGTCAATATATTAACACCGCTGCTTTTTTATTTGTGCCTTTTCCTCCTTTAATGACAGATGCTTTTTTCCCAGCACATTCTTCCTCACTGCTCTGCCACTGCTCTCCTCCTGGGTTCTCCCACTCAAGATTTTCTTTATCTGACAGTTACCAACTGACATGCTAATTTTCCAACATCAGAGCCTTGAACATCCCCTCCCACTGTATCTTTTCTCTGGCTTTCTATTTTCACTTTGTAGATTTAGGTCAGACACTTCATATTTTGTATAAAAAGAAAGAAAGAGAGAGTTGAATCTTGGATCATGTAACCACCATACTTGAAATCTCATTCATCAAAAAGCACTTCCAGCACTTTACAACTTATTGTTGTCTCATTACAGCTGGATGGCAAAAACCACACAAAATAAATATGAAACATCTATGATGTCTAACTTTATCACAGGTTTAATGTGAACACAACCAGCACAGACTACCTGTACAGAAATGACAAAATGAGGTCTAGCAGCATTCCATTTCTCACCATATGTTCTTTGCTTCTCTGTTACGGTCAACACACTGCCAGCCAAAACACCAAAGCCACTCAATCAACTCACAACTGACCCTCTGCTCCTATACCTGCATTCCTGCTTTCCAGCTCCTGCTTTTAAGAACGTTTTAAGAAAATTTCAGATAGTTTTTTTTTTTAATTTTTAAGCATAAATGCCTAAAATTAATCAATTTAAGCTTGTCAAATGCAAATAATTGCTGCTTTTCTGAAAATGTGCAAATTGGACTATTCAACAAAACACTATTAATCCATCACAAAAAATTAGAAACTGCAGCCCTATTTAACACTTCACTTCTCTCTCTCCCACACACACAACTGAAAAGAAAGTAAACCTCTGATGCAAATTCCAAAAAAGCCACTTAACAATTTGACACACATTTGACTCCTAATTCACAGTATCTGAAAATCCAACTGTCTAGATCTTTTAGACAACTTGACCTCTGATCTTAACTTTGAGGTCAAGGTCTCTGGGACTTTGACCTTCAGATCAAGAACTGGAGACTTATGATACCTTTCAAAGCCAAAATTTTAAAAATGCAAAAAGCGCCACCCCTATACACTGATAAGAAAGAGATATATGTTCTGTTTTTGTTTTTTAAATCTCAGTGAGCGGTATCATAAAGCTTCTTGTCTGTCAATTAGTATGTGCAGCCATCCTTTACATTACAGCCATCCTGTGGCCGCAGTCCAATATTGTCAATGAAAACTGTGCTTATTTAGGTTTCGCTAGAAAACTTATGCTCTCCATGTTTGGTGGACATAGCTTCAGTGATTTAGCATTGTCACAGATAAGTTTCCTCTACCTTGGATAACATGTGTAATTCAAAGATGGAAAATGAAAAAGTTGTTCTTTAGCACATCAGCAAGAAAGGTTCTGACAAGAGGGAGATGGGATGGAAGCTCTGACTGTGTCTTGTTCTAACAAAACAGGTAAGTTGAGCAAGTGCAGACTCAGCCAGCACTTTTAGATTACCATCCATCCACTTTCGCTTATCCGTTTCAGGGTCGCGGGGGGCACTGGAGCCTACCCCAGCTGTCATAAGGTGAGAAGCGGGCTAGACCCTGGACAGGTCGCCAGTCTGTCGCAGGGCTAACACAGAGACAGGCAACCATTCGCACTCACATTCACTGCTCACAGTATCTGCCAATACAGAGCAGCAACCAAATACCAATGTTAAACTAATAAGCTGCAATCCTCACTGTGGTGAAGAGTAGGAATGGGAATCGAGAACCGGTGGTTGTGGAAAACCAGTTTACAGTTCCCTGCCTATTGACCCCACTTATCAGTTCTTGCACTCTCACTACAATCAGCTGATTTTACTTTGTGTGTCAGTGGAGGAAAATAAAGAGACATATGGATATTTATTTTTATTGCACAAAAGGACGAGATAAATGGTAAAGTGGAAAACGGCATCCAGGACAAAAACAACCGCATTATGCTGCTAACACAACTTTGGTTCTTTGCAAGCATCTGTGAAGACAGCATGCTAACGCTAACAAAAAATAAAAGTGATTATATTTAGACTGTATGAGGTAGAAGCGCGCTTCTAGTAACTTCAGCTTCACATTTTCATTGCTGATCAAATAAAGCTGGTAAGATAAGATACCAGTTTTTGCTCTAGTTGCTAAGCTTTCCTCTTGAAATAACAACTTTCAGACACAAATAGTTGTGTTATCCTGTCAAATTAACACCATAAATTATAATGTTACAGACGGACACGACTGATGTTTGCTGGGTAGCTCCAAAATTAAAATTAGCTTTTTATTATTAGCCATAGCCACTACTCACTAGCTTAAGTTAACCTTCAGCTGCAGCCCTCAGAATTATCAGTGTAGGCCCAGAACTTGGAGTACACTAGCTTTTGAGCCCCTGAAACTACGCTTGTGGGGATCTAGTAACTACTAATAGTTAAGCAGCTAACATCAATGTGTACACTGGCCAGGTTAACCTTTATGAAAACTGTTTAATGTGACAATATTGTTTAAAAGGAAACTTTACTGACCTTTCCAAATTCCTCCTACTGTTGTTTATTGTTAACTACTTTAACTGCTAGTAAAGCGGGCTGTGTGTGTGTGTCTGCCTGTCTGCAGCAATCCTAGGTGAAGTTGTGGGCCAACTTTAACAAGAAATAATGCCTTCTGTTGTCCGTTTGTGTCTTTAGTATTAAAACAAATGCAGTTCCAAAACAAGCTAAAAGCTCATTATTCCCCTCATATATACCAACTGATGAAACAATTGATAAATTTAACTAACAAGCAACTTTGAAAACAAACAGTTGTCACTTCCAAGGGGAAAAAAAGGTCGAATCTTTGGTGTCAGTTTCCCAAATATCACCTACATCACATGTGACAACAACCTGAAAACATTTTGGACAGAAGTGTAGAGAAAAGCTCAAAGCTTTTTTTTCTTAAACGTTAAGCCTGTTGACTGGTATCAGAATAACAGAAAATAATATGGCATTTACCAGTGTGAGTGGTCTATAGTAATTTGAAAAAAAATCTAAAAGACAAAAAATTATTTCCACTGAACAATAAGGAAAACAAAAGCTGTTTTTAAACATTAATACTAGAGAAAAATTTCACAATCAGAGCACCCCTAATGAAAACAATAAGTTGCAGTCATAGTCCAGAGTACAAGGTGCAACTCAATCCTAAACAAACTTCATTCATGTTTTCTGTTTGTTTGGTTTTTTCTATCCTATATTATACTGTACTAGACTAGTTATTCCACTAGCCCCTTTTCCGTTAGCACACATACCTTAGGCATAAATACAATCCTAGACACAAGTAAAAAAAAGTGTTGAATTACATTCACTAAGTCATCAACTAGAATGTATGCCCAACTTCATCTTAAAAACTAAATAAATCAGGAAAAAGCAGCTAAAAGTCTTCACCATAAATATTCATTTGAGCCTTTTCTGAACGTATAACGGGGTTAACAAAGGTAAGAATCTGTCTTTTCATGTCAACGCTGACCCAAAATAACAGTCTGTCTTCATGCCAGAACAACATGTTATTGTACCCCTCACACAATCCAGGAAGTCATGGCCAAGGAAAAACAAAACAAAAAACAGGGCACTGGCTACCTCAGCTCAGAAATATATATCGCAACGCAACAACAACGACCACCTATGCCTATAAATGTCCCGAAACACCCAGTTAACGAAATGGACTGCAAATTAATGGTGACATACATTTAGACATGATAAGGTGAATAAAAGGTGATAATCAGAGCCGTGTACAACATGCAAATCAACACTAGCACTCAACTCAAGAGTATCGCAGTACAAACAAAACATGCGACTGTAATGTACGTGCAGCAGAACGGGAGGAAAAATCAGCAGCATAGATTGTGTGAAGGAGTTCAACCTCTGCGCGAGTGTGTAAGCGTCACTTTAAAAAAAAAAACAAGATGAGAATAGCAGATGTTTTGTTTCACCGACCTGCCTGGACTGATGATCAAACTCGGGTTGTTTTGATTCCGAATGGCGATTTAAAAGCAAGGAAACGGTGGGGGAAAACAATGCAATAGTCCCGTATTGGTTAAAGCTGCAACGTGCTGTTGTGACCCTAGCAGCAAGTCTGTGTATTGCTGTCTTGTGAATGCCAGCAGAGAAGTGGAAACAGAGCTGTAGAGGGATGTGAACACGCCGCCGGTTGGCACCGTTAGCTAAATGGAGGATGCTTAGCTCGCGCTGATAAGTTTGTGTAACACTCTATTTTCCTACCCTAAACTAATTTCGAAGTAATTATTCACGCGATAATAAAAGCGCCTTACTAATTTCCTGGAACCGGTATTCCTGATAATAAGTGCCCGCAGAACTCACCCCGTATCTGCTCCAGCTGCCAGACAA